AACTTAAATTTTGTCCAATAAAAGAAAAAACGATTTTTTTGGCCTCTGAAGGTGGGAAGTAACCTTAAAGAAAGTCTCTGTGAGCACCACAATTTCTGTTGCTGAATCGCTAGACGGCGAAAAACCACACAATTCACCCATGTTACTTTCGAAAATAGCTTTGTTAACATTGTTAGAAGCTGATAAGCGATTGAACCACGTTCTTAGACTGTTCATAGCCTCTCTATTTACGCACGCGAAAGAAACGGGCGTGAAGCACTTGGTCGTGGGGGGTGGGGTTTGCTAGCGAAGCGAGCAAGCGGTCCCCACCCCCTACCCAGTCAAGTCTTCCGTTTTGCGCTCGCGTCGCTATCTCCCGATTCTGTCCGCGCGTTCAACGATCGAATAGAAATACGAGAAAATAGAGGGCTGTAAAAAGTCTACCACGTTCTAATATATACCGTTTAATTTATAACAGGCAGCCCCAAGACTGTAGAGGGAACTTTAGCTGGTATCATATCACAGCTGGTATTTCTGTGGACTTTACACTACAACGGTAAAACAGTGTTTGTTACATATAGAAATCAGTGGCTACTCTGTACTAAGAAGTTCTTTTGATGGGTTCTTTGCCATTTTCAACCCGGTGCGAAGCTTGTGCTTTGGAAGCTTTTGCTAACAGAAGGAAGAAAGGGAAATAGTTAGATTCCGTTTCTAGTTTGCTTTCTGTACCATTCATTCCAAGCGGGCTAAGAACGTTTCGATGTTGGGTTTGCCTTTGTCTTCTCTGCTACGTTTTCGTTTGAAAAACCCGTAATGACTGTGAAATGGGCGGTTTAGGAGGTCTTTTGCGAGTTTCTTTGCTTTCCTACTCAGCGAAAAGCTTGCGACCAATTACATGTAGTAGCTTTGATCCGATCAACAGATTGAAGAAAGCCGATAATACTGAACTTTGCTTTTATTTTGCTTTCCGTGCCGTTCTTTCCTAGCAGGCTAAGAACTTTTAATCCTGTCCAAACTGTTGCGTCTTCGTCTGAATTTTATTTATCATTCACTCTAAAACGATTAAAATCGCTAAAGCGGAGAAAACGACGACTTTCGACAAACATTTTCGAAAGTGAAGAAGACTTTTAAGACGACAGTTCTATTGTTTAAGTAGCTTTAAGTGAAGAGTTGTGAAAACTGAAACGTACCTTCTATTGTCGATCGTCTCAAAAAAATAATTAATTGCGGTTCGCTGTGATTTTATGCAAACCCTAGCATTTTCGGGGCAATTGTTGAGGGAAATATTTTAGTACGTCGGCAAGAATGAATTTGAAATCGGAAGCTTAAAAAAAAAAAAAAAGTGCTTAAGTGGATGGTCCTCAGCGTATCATTTTCCTCAAACTTTCGACTTTCTGCCTTTTTTTCAGATATTCTGCTATTACCAAAGGAAAGATGGTTACCAGTTTCCGCCGCAGTAACAGCCGGGTCTCTGTTGGAGGCATGGACCTCTCAAATTGACAACATCATACTGTCACCTTTCTTGTGTTCACTTCTACTGTTTAAATGCAGATGAAGCACTGTCCGATGAGGTGTTCGTCGACAAATTCGTCCTTACCCATTAATACTACTGAACGAGAGTTACAGAGGGGTATTGTGAGAGGAAAATGTCTTTCCTTTCAAACAAGAAAGTAGCGCCATACAACCTCGTTCCCAGGGTCCTCTCTCTTCCTCCCTCGAGAACGAGGTTGAGCAACATGTTGGGTCGATGTCTCTGTTAGCTTATGTGAGGGGAAGTTACCATGGCAACGTGACATACTCTTGTGCGGTAAAGTGTAGGAGTATCCACGTAGTTTTGCTATAGTTTTTGCTTGGACAACTGATTAGTAGAATTATATAAGAATTAAAACATCCCGTTCTTTTTTATAATTATACACACAGGCAACACAGCTTAAAACCATCTGCGTCATTCATTGAACTCAGGAAAATAAATTTGTTCATAAAGTGGGATTGAATAAAATACTGTAGACAGCAAGCAAGGTCTACGTGTCAGTTTTCTTTCGCGCATAACATTCGAGTTATGCGCACCAGTGACCTCGTTGTCTAAAGTGAAAGAAAACACTTCGAAGTCTCTTTAATATCATTCCGAATCAAGGAAGAACCATAGTTTGGTTTCGTTTGTTGGCCGCCTAGTAGTTTGCGGTTCTTTTTGTTTCGATGCAAATTATGTCCACGAGGCCAGGGAAAAGTAATGCGCTGATTTAAATAGGCATAGCAACTGTCGTTTATTCCTCGCTTTTGGATAGTTGCCATTCTTGTTTCAATCAGCGATCGAGTTGATCCGGTTCAAGGTTTGTCCCTGTTTAAAGAAAATGCGTGGGGCTGGGCTTCAGCGGTGTCATTTTATAACCTCAACGAAATGCGCTAGTGACAGTTGCGACAATTGCTTACCTGCTTTCTTGGAGGAGGGACTGTGTAATTTACACAGGAAGTCCGTTTCCCTCTCTTATAGTGTCAGTTCTCTCCTCCGTCCTCAAAAGAAAGAAAACCTTGAAAAGAGGCAAGTCTGTTGAGTGTTGAAGAGTTCTGTAGCCTGTAACTGAGCTCGAGCTCGATTCACGCGCCTGTCCTAAATTCTGTGGCTCACGCTTCGCTGGGAGGATTCGGCTACACATCTGAGACTGTTCCATAAGTTACAAAGTTCGTTCCATCGGTCCATTTCCTTGTCATGTGCACGTTGGGGATAACCTTGTTTATACTAAAACCGAGGGCAAGTGTAAGCCTATCTGAGGGAAAGTGGAAATGTAAATTATGATTGGCTACCAACAAGTCAATAAGAAACAGTATCTCTGGAGACAGATCTAACACAAACAAACAGAGGCGATTCGCACGCGCATATCGTGACAGATGTGTGCCAGTGTTTGTTTTGTTCTTTAAAATTTATTTTTAGGAAAGGAAACTGAATTTCGCTTTGGTGGGACCAGTGTTGGTGGGAGTTCCCGTTTTTAAAACGGAAATTGAAAGAATGTCTATAGAATGTCGTTTGTTGCGATCGATTTTATTTTATGTACTGTTGCTTGCGTTTTTGGTCTCAGCGTTTGATTTTTTCTTAGTATCGTGCGATTTCCACTATTTCGAAGAAAGATAATTATTTCCGGGATTACCATATGGGTTAGGTTAGGATTAGGTTCTTGAGTCAGGGAAAACAGGCGAATGTGTGAAACTGCTTATCAAAATCACTGCAATTTTACAATCTTATTTGCTCGTCTCAAATCAAATGATGCTATTTCTTGATTCTTCGTGGTCTTTTTAAAGGCCAAAAAATCGAATAACTCTTACAGCGATCGCACTGCAGCCCGCTAGCCGGAAGTTATTGAACAAGTCACGTGCTTTGAATGCAACTTTCGAGCTTGTGTCGTCACATCCTTTTAACAGCCATTATGATCCGCGGACTTCAGGTAAACCATGTCTAATATTGGAAAACTGTTTAAAATTGGAGGAAACAAAGCTCCAAGGCCGCCAAGAAAGGATTATGACGAGAATAGGAGCTCTAGTGAATGTTCTGAAGAAGACGAAAGCTATTTGGACCCACAAACAGTGCATCCTACATCGTCCCCAAACTCAACTCCAGTTCAGATGCCCAGCTATCCTCCTCCAAGACCGAATCATTCGCCAGCGAATCGCCGTGTTCATGACGTCGGAAAAAGGGCTTCGGTGCCCGTCACATTTGACCAAATGACTAAACCTCCTGTACCTAAAGCGAGATCGCAGAGGCCCCAAAGCGCTGAACATTTAAAGTCAGGCAAAGGGCCTGTTGTATCGCAAAGACTTGGCTTAAAGGTATGTGGTTCATTTTGTTAATTGCTGGATAATATCTGCCCGTGTGTCTTGCAGTGAACTTATACTTTCTGGTATCATTTTAATTGTGAGACACTCGTAATCTGTGTTCACTTCCTCAGCCACCCTATGGATCATAAAATATGTATTCCTTTAGGATTAGTTGTAAACTATAAGCTTGTATGGTTTCTCCAAATCATGCATACGTAAAGCTATACTTGCGAAATCTTGATCACGGATTGCTGAACATGCTGTGTGCATTGTTGCATTTTAATCCAAGACTGTGATACAGGGTGACCTTGTGGGCAAAGATATGTCAATAATGAAATTTTAAAGTGACTTGGATCTGTATTTTTCATAGATTATGGAGGAAGTTCAATCCTTCATTTTACAGACATGTACATTTTGATGTTTAGTTGTGGTTTAAGTTAAGCTTAAATTTGTTTTGGTTGGTATTTTGTACACCATTTTGATCTCTGTTTTACTTTGGCTTAAATGATGATAACTAGCCAGTCTTACACAAAAGAAAACTCAAATCAAATGAGCTTAACAAAATTTCATAGCAATGATAAATTAAACTACAAATTATTATCTATTAATTTTTTATTGAAAAATATGTTTAATTTTGTACTTCAATGGCTTATTTACTTGTATTTGCATCCCAACTGTGAATTATTTTTCTGCTGAAATGCTGGACATTTAAGAAATGTCAAGAATTTTACATTTATATTTAGGTGAAACTATGCTGCTAACAAAGGTAATCATGGTCTTCCCTGTCAAGGAAATAACCACGATTAAGGTTTCTAAAGAGTTAAATATGATACCTGGGAAAATGAAGAAGCTTTTGGGAACATTATTTAAATACGTATTTGACTAGAATCAAGGAAATATATATATATATTTTTTTTT